GCAACAATTTTTCAATTCCATGCCGGAATATTCATTACTTTCTGCATAACCGGAGAATCTCTTTTAGTATTGGAGGTCGTGGATGATTTCTCCACTTTTTACGTCCACTGAGGTGGCACAACCTGGGCACAATTTAAAATTGAAAGAGCGCTTTAGGGTGATTGGAGTTCTGATGATCACGTAATGTAAATTTACGTTGATAAACGCAGTAAAATCAGGTTCTGAGGCAAAGGGGACTGCCCAATCATTGGCGTGAAGATATAACCTCAACCTAATGGCTACAATTTGCCACATTGCTGACCAATGAAAAGCCAAATAGTTAAACCTTCGAGTGTGATTGGTCAGGAGGAATTTCTCATCCACTGATTGGATGAACTGGAGATGCTTGTAAATTAGAAAGTATCGTGCTCTTAACTTCTCAAAAAACTTTCCTGTGAGTTAATGAGTCTCCTTTTAAGTGGCCTTATTATGTTATACAGTTAATTTACTTATATAAAATAGAGATAACACACTAAGCCCTAATGTAAAAGGGTGTATCACTTTTTTCCTTAAACAAGTTTAACATTATCATATTTACTGCTGGCTCAATAGTCGTAGAAGATGATGAGTGTCAAGGTTCGCTGCAAATTGAAGTCCTTCCAGAGTTCTTACATCACGCTTGTAGCCAATTTTGGGAGTGTGAGCAGAAAATTGTCTGTCACTGTCTAACAATCTGGGACAAATGGGGTTACCGATTCAATTTAATGTAGAATAACAGATTTTGACATGAGGCTGATGTTAACCCTAGTAATTTATGAAAGAAAACAAATTACCAATTATCGATAGGGTGGGGGATTACATCGTCACATGGCAAGAATTTGCTATTTTTAATCGAAATTAGTTTAATATGACCTTTAGCCATTTTCATCCCCTAACCTTCCACCTTACTTTGGTGGAAATCTCGTCAGGCAAAACTAAAATGAAATTTTGTTTAACAGTATTTTAATGTGAAACTCTTGCATGGACTTCGGTATCTTTTCTCAACTTATTTGTGGGCTCGCTAATTAAGCCTAATGAGATGCAGAGTTGTTAGAAGTCGCAAGTCTTCTTACAAAACTGGAATACTGTATGCTGGCATAAAAGGGGGCTTGTAATTTGGGATGCACATCGACTGCCATCTCACCGAAGCAAACGAGGTCATTAAGCATTACCAGCAGGACTGTGTGGAAAAGAGCAAAAGAAATTCACCACTTAAAAGCAGACCATAAAATAAAAAGAAGAGGACGAACATTTGCCCGTCCCTAATAAGTCGACACCACCTTGCAGGCGTTTTTGAGCAACAAGTCGAGTTTGCACAGATTTGAAGTTGTCTGATTTCCACATTAAAAATTAGCATCAAGTCAATAAGAGCCACCACAATTTATTAATGAATAGATAAGCTGAAGAGAGCACAATGCACCTGCTTCTTCCCTTCATGCTCCTTCTCATCGCCCAGTTGTCGAGAGGACCGTGTAGTGCCAGGGGCCTCGTCTTCACGCGAGCCGTCGACCCGCCGGCCGAGCAGGACTTGGAAGTGTCCACACAGGAGACCGAGCAACCGAATCAAGAAAGGGGTAAATGTTCAACCCATTTTTCCTATGCTCTCCTCCATCTCAAGTGGGGAAGTAGTCCCTAAAAACACAAATGGCTCTCCAAGACACTCAGAGGAAGAGAAAGGCGAGAAAAAGGCTTGTCTTATTACTTTCGAATCTGCATCATTTAATTGCTTCTAATTACCACCCATTGAAGGAAAACGTGTGTTTCAAATGTTAGTAAAAGTAAA